ACTATATGACGAAAGAAAAACCCTCTATTCCGTTTAGCGTGTTCGAATTCGGGGTTTTTAAGATTTAACTAAATGTGATTAGACTAAATGCAATTATCGGTTAATTACGGATTTATGAAGCACAATTATCTTAGTAGAAGTTTATGTAGATGAAATCTTCTATTATGGTATGAGAGAGGGACTTTGGTGTGATGTTGGATCATAAATATTACCCTTTTTTTTTACATTAATTATGTTGGTTACATTAATTATGCTATAGATAGTCCCTGCTTGTAAGCATCAACTTATTACCTACTAAATAAGCTACACAACCAACTCTATAATCCTTGTAAAACTTTGGCAATCGTATTGATTGAAAAATTTCCTGAAATGTTGCTTAAACTAGGGAAGGAGTACGTGACCAAAAAAAAAAACTAGGGAAGGAGTGAGGGCGAATCAGCTATATTTTTATTTATTTGTTTAACCTTCATAGACATACTGTATGTGTATATATATCTTTGGACATTTTTCTGTATTTATATATCAAAGACATGATATGGGGATCTTGATCATAAATGAAAATTAAATATATGTGGGGACAACATCAAATAAATTATTTATCGTGCGATATATCAGTATTTATATTAAATTTGAATAAGGTTTACGTGATGGGATTGGGAACGACCACGAATAGTCAACAACCAATGAACCTAACTCGTTTTTTTTAAAACTAATCTATTGCGCATGTTAGTCCACCGGAGTGATGACTGAAGCATAAAACCACAATATTAGTAAGAGTTTATCAGAACAAGATAAAATTGTCTCGATTTTCGACGCAATAAAATATTATTCGAAAGTTGTAATTAGACCATTTCAGAGAAGCCGAATGGACTTGTCTTGAACAATGTTAGAAAATCTTTCCGAATTGCACTTTTTCGTTGTTAATTGTTTAGTAATCGAATTTTATCGAATAATGATTAAAGTTCATTCTCCATTTCGGAAATACTAGATAATTATCCGGGACAATGTAATACGATAGTAAAATAAATATAGTTTTAATTTAAAAAATATTTATATTTATTGGAAAAATTATTATACGGAATCTAAATTTCGGTTATATATATGAATTTTGTAATTATTTTGTATAGAAATGCATCTCACCCGTAAAATAATTGAAAACAACAAATTTTTAGTTCTTAATCAATTTATATCACTTATTAATAAAATATATTTATTTAATATCATAATCTTCAAAATTATGGTTTATGACTCAAATATACAAAATAAAATATTGTAAATATGACTTAAAGTTTATAGTGTTAAGGTAATTATAAGAGTAAGTGAATATTTGTAGTAAACTTTCTTTTATTTTCGTTTTTAGAAAACAAATCAACAAAAAAATTTGTTAATGATGTTTAGATGGAAAGATTGTGTGATTGTGTAGTGTTTGGATAATAAAATAGTAGAGAATTAATAAGATTATTAAGGAGTATTTGGATAGTAGTATAGTAGAGAATTAATAATATGATTTAATTTTTAATGAAAAATTTCAAAAATTGAGAATTACAAAGCATTGAATAAATAAACAAATTAATCCAAAAATCCAAAAAATTGAGAATTACAAAGCATTTGGACACCTAAACAAATTAATTCAAAAATGTTTTTTCTTTAATATATAGGATTACAAAGCATTGAATAAATATTTTCGGTAAGAAAACTCCATTTTTTCATATAATCAAATAATGATTTACCGAATTTTGATTTAAGGAATATTACAATATTCCATAGTCGATTGCATTATTAGAAATATGTCATCAATGAAAAGGTACATCTGGCAATTAAGAATTGCATAGATTAGTAGTATGATTATCTCTATACTATTAAAAGAGAAGTCATTTAGAGTAAATGTCCAAAATCTATTCAAATATTACTGAAATTGCCATTGGATTTAAACTATA